GAGCAGGAACTCATTTGTCCACCTCAGAGTGGACGGTATGAGACAGACCCAGAACCACTGACCCATTAGAGTTTAGGTGACATCACTTTTCACAGAATCAGAACTTCTTTTATATGTTTTCAGCTCCAGTCTCTGAGGTCCACATGAGTCAGGAGGAGAACAGGATCACCTGCAGCTCAGGGGGGATCTACCCTGAACCTGGACTCACCTGGTCCACCATCCCTGCATCCAACCTGACTCTGCAGACCAGAACCAGAGTCCATCAGACTGAAGATCAGCTTTACAGCATCAGCAGCTCTCTGATGGTTTCAGACAACGACACAGATCTGATCTACTGCTGCACCGTCACAAATCATCTGAACAACAAGACCGTGACCTTCAGACAACGTGAGTTAAATTCACCTGAAAGAAACTGATGAGTCCAGTCTGGCTTTGATGACTTCATGTTTTCTTCTCAGTACTGAGGAGAAATCTTTCTGTAGAATGCTTCATTTGATTTCATAGGTGCTGAATTGTCCCTGAGAGACTCTTTGGTCTTACACCATGTGAGTTCCAGGAAGACCTGCTTCAAGAACCACTTCCAGTCTCTTCCACGTCCTAATTTTTACACTCAGCCTCGTTCGTGAACGTGTCGGCTCGTTCAAAGCCTTCATCTCCTCCAGGCGATGAATCTTAACTTCCACCACTGGTACCTTCTGGAGAACCTGGCAGAAATCCTCTTTGGGATAAAAGAAGGCATCTCAAAAGCTTGACTTTTCTTGGTCTCAGCAGTTGAAATCTCAAAACCCTCTCAGGTTCTACAACAGCAGTGGAACATAAAAGTCAAAGGTTCTCTGCTATCCAAGGTTAACCAGTCACGTCGGGGTCACCAAAACTGTTACAAACATGTTTTTACTGAGAGGTGAGATACGAACCCGGAGACAAATTCAAACTAAGACTTGAACATTGAATTGCAAATAATAAATCCTTCAGCTGGACCAAAATACAGTCTGGCCCCTCCTCAGGGGTAAAACGTCACATTGATTGGGAGGGTTTTCTCTAGCTATAAATAAATAAATACATGTTGGTCTGTTGTATGGTGATAAGGCAAGTTAACTAACTAATCTTGTCTTTTTGAAAGTATCAATTAATCACAGTTTAATCATTGTACATAAAGATGTGAAATTACACATTTAAATTATAAAAAATAATAATCTTTACCAGTTTTTCTGCTCTCCAGACTCTGAGGTGTTCTGTGTCTTCATGGACAGCTGCATCTTACCCTGCAGCTTCCAGAGC